CAATTCCAGTGTGTGTGTGTGTGTGTGTGTGTCTACAGGCAACCCTCGCATGTATGGCCTCGAATTATGTGAATGGGATTTCACGACTGGTCACGCGATTAAAGTGAAAGGAAGGCGGCAGACAGGCAGGCCAAGAAGGGTTAAGGCAGGCGCAGGCGAAGGCGATAAGAAGGTGGAAATTGCACAATAAAGTGCGAGAAGAAGAGAGAAGAAAGAGGAGCCAGAAGCAGAAGGAAGAACACGTGCAGGAGGGTAAGAAGAAAGAACACGAGCAAAGAAGGAAAGAAGGAATAACGAAGAGCTAAGTTAAAAAGGGATGGAAAGGGGAAGTTCATTAAAAGCAAACCACAAAGCAGAGGAATGCAAGAAAACAGAATAAGAAGGAGGCATAAAGAAAAACAAAAAAAAAATAGAAATAAAAGAAAAGTAATACAAAAAATGAAATAAGAATTAAGGAATAAGGAATAAAAGAATGCAGACAGAAACAAAAGAATAAAGAGGATACAAATAAATGACAAATATTTTGTATGCTTAGTTTCAGGTTAATTCTTTCCGTTTAATCATATATGCATCGAGACCGAGATCGAGACATTTAGCAGTCCGTTTTGCAGCATTTAAATTTAAGCATTTTGGCCCAACCAAAAACCGAAATGCAGCCACGCCCACCACACCAGAGTCATGGACAGGGAGCCACCGTGGGGGGGAGTGGACACACTTTTGGCAGGACCAAACAGAGAAAATGTGCAGTAATGTTGCGACTTGTTCATTAGATGGGAACCGAGCAACCACAGAGAGAGGGGGAGAGAGAGAGAGAGAGAGAGGGGGAGAGAGAGGAGAGAGAGAGAGAGGGGCACCTCCGACACATCCCATCCATCCATCCATCCATCCTTCGACCCATTCCGACCATCAGCAATCACTCCATTCACAGACACCCATCGCCTGGCACAACCCACACACACCCCACACCCCACCCACGCCCCACACACCCCCACACCCCCCACACACTCACGCATTTCTTTCCATTGTTCCTGTTGCTACCTTTGCCCCTACTCTCCCCTGCTCTCACCCTTAACCACTTCCTCTCTCTCTTTCTCTCTCTCTGACTGCCCTATTCCATATTTCATGCTTTCATGCTGTCTCTCTCCTTCTCGCTGTCTCTGCCGTATGCGGCGTATGTGCTACTTATTAAGTATACGTCAAGTGAAACCAAAATGGAACTCATTTCCAATTAAGTGCAAGAGTGTGCAAGGGGGGGGCGATAGGGATAGCAAAAGGGGGAGAGAGAAGGCCTCAAGGTATGGCTGGCTCATAGCTGTGCATGACAGCGAACATTAAAGCCAAGAGGATGCATAAGGTCTGAGAGAGATCCCCCCCTCTCTATACATTGAGGCCAACAGAAGAGAGTCCAATATTTCATTAATTAAAAAATAAATTAAAATACATAAAAAATATTCCAAAAAGTCACAAAAAAATATTAAAACAAGTTTTCCATTTCAGAAAATCAAACAACAACGAGAGAAGTGAGAAGCGAACCAGCAACGACAGTGTGGAACGAGAAGGCCAACAAAAAAGGGACTCCACTCCCACTCCGGACTACATATAAGTATTTCTCTGGTAGAAGCAGAAAGCAGCATAACGCGTGCATAATTCTGCACCCCCCCCCCCCCCACACACACACACACACACAGCAAAAAAGAAACAAAGCCAAACACGTAACGGTAAGGACTCGTTCGACTCGACTCGTTCATATCACCATCAAATATGAGCAAACGCCACTCGAGGGCCTCAGCGAGACACACAAAGAGAGAGATAGGTACAGCACGACAGAGAGAGAGAGGGAGCGCGAGAGGCAGCAGTAATTGTTCAACATTAAGCTGACTTCGAGATACTCTTCTTTTTCACCGGCACAAGATTTGTTTTCCAATTATTATAGAATTTACTCACGTTGCAGGTAAAACCACACAAAATCGAATCCCTATCAGCGAGACAGCGAAGAGATTTACGTGTACCTTTTTTTTTTTGCATTCATGGGCATTCCCTTTTGCACTTTTCGCTTGTGCATTTCTGTGTCTGTGACTTGTCAAATAATAAACGCCTGAGGACAGGCAATATAGGCCGCACTTTTATTAGTCCTGTTTCCCATAGGCATTACAAATGAAAGGGTATCTCCACAATGAGCTGGTGATGACAACACTGACAGCTCGATGCCAGCAGCAGCAGCAAAAGCAGCAGCCGCAAAAGAAGGCAAGAAGAGCCGCAAAAGAAGGCAAAAGGCAGGAGGCAGCAGGCAGGCAGCATCCTGGGCAGCATCTGCAGCCGCTTAAGCAATATAAAATAAAATATACAGCCAAGGCATGCTCCAAAAGGAGTCACCAACACCACCTACCCCCCCACACCCCCACAGGACTCACACAGAGCAGAGCAGCGTTTGCGTTTGCGTTGCCTTCGCTGAGATTCGATTTTCTGTCATTTTTGGCCGTCAGGCTGTCTGTTGGATCGTCGTCTGTGTTGTTGTGTCGTAAGAACAGCAAGCAACTGATTGAGTTAAAACATGGCCAATGACTACTGTGGAGTGGAGATACACATACAAACAGATCGAGTGCAGGCAGCTGGGGAAAGAGAGAGAGAAAAAGGCACAAGGGTTCTGGGTCAGGGGGTCTGTCTCCTTGCTGTGTGGTGGGTCAGTGGGGAAGGGTGGGGGGGGTCTTATTAATTATATTAAATGGCAAATCTTTTTTAGTATTTAATTTGATATTAAACTAATATTTCTGGTATATTTTGGTATTTTTTCAAGACTGAATTAAGTGCAAATTTTGCTTCAATTTTCTGTCAGCTTTATCGCACTTTCGCACTAACAATCTAATAATCCTGCCTCCACCTCCCCCTCCCCCTCCCCCTACTCTGCTTTTGCGGCTCTGCTTTCTTTTGCTTTTCTGTACGTAAAATGTTTCGCCATTAGGTTTTTGCCCCTGCCCCCATCCCCCATGCATCCCCCCTTGTCCTTTGGCATTCTTTTTGCTTGGGAAATGGGCGCCGCGATACACAGATATGGGGGAGGGAGAGAGAGGGAAAGAGAGAGAGAGAGAGATAAGAGTACTTATTGCATTGCCAGTCGGAAGCAGCTACTCAAACATTGTGCAGGATGCGGAGAGGTAGGGGCAGGGGAAGGGGAAGGGGAAGGGGAAGGGCTGCTACACGGGGCTGCCCTACTGTGTCACTCCTCTTTTTTTTTGCCATTTTCTTCTCCCACTTTTACTACTCCCACTGCTGCTTCTCCCTCCCCCTCTCCCACTGCTGCTTCGCCCTCTCACTCTGCTTCCCCTTTGCTGCTTCTCCCTCCCTCTCCCCCATCTCACTCTGCTTGTCCCTTTGCTGCTTCTCCCCCACACTTATCCACCTGCTCTCCTCCTACTGCTGCTCTCCTCCATTACCACCACCTTGTTGTCCTTCACCTCTCGCCGCCACCTTCCACCTTCCCATTCCCATTCCTAATTTCGCCTCATCCTTCTGCTCATTTTCGTTCTCCTCCTCCTCCCCACTTCTCTTCTGCCGTTGGACAGGTGCTTCTAGTGCTTCTCCTTCTCCTTCTCGCGCTCCTTCTTCGCTTTCTTCTCCCTTTTTGGTTACATCTTTCCGCTTGGGCATCGCATCCGTGCATGGGTGGGTCCCCTCCCCTCCTCTTGCTCCTCTGCTTTCTCTTGTCTTTCGCTTAACTCGGGTCACCCTGTCAAATAATTAATGAGCATGTGGGTGTGGGTGTGTGTGTGGGTGCCACAATATTATGTAAGCGAAAGGCATAAAGGCATCTGTAAATGTCAATAAAATGTACTGTACAGTGTGGCCCCGCTAGAAATTCAAAAAGAACTCAGACTCCAGCCGAGGGAGGGCTCACTGCACTTAAATTTAACCCACAGACATGAATGAAATGAATGAAAAGCAACGGAGCAAACAGCAATGGAAAAATGCCTGAAATAGACAGACGGCAACAGAAAAATACCCCAAAAAAAAAGGAAAGAAGGTAGAAAAAGAGAGTAACACACACACACACACAAATGAGAAATAGAGTCCAGAGGAGGAGGCGAAGAAAAAGAGCAGCCAAAAGCAGACAGACAGACAGACACACAAAATAATGTTTCGAGAGCCACAAGGAATTTCTGTTGCTTCTGTTGTTTTTGTTGTTTGCCTAATAAAATTTCCCCTTGTATTTAGTAATAGTCAATGCCACGCCACGCCCACAAAAGACTTGCACAGGACACACCACACCCTACTGGCCCCAACACCCTCCAAAATCCCCCCAAAAAAAAAAAAAGAGCACCCAAAAGTGGTGGAAATCGTAAAATGATTTTGTTGCCTTTTGTTTTTGTGTGACATTTTATTTCGGGATTTTTCGTATTATTATATTTCCTATGCTTTTAGCTCGCTGTCCCACTCACTCACTCACTCTTTGCTCTCTTCGTGTGCTGCCTTTCCAGCGCTCCTACTGCTCTGCTAAATATTGATTTAATAAACACTGTGCCGACAGTCACATTTTGTACTTAGCACGAGACAAAATTTGGGCTGTGTGTAGATCACTTCCTCATACTTAGAATTATAGCCATATAGCCCCAAAATATTTTTTTTTTAATTCAAAAATTCAAAATTCAATGACTGTTTGCATTTTCATAATTTTCACTCAGAAGCTGCAGCGCGAGGATAGCCACAAAAAGTAATACATATGTAGCTTGACAAGACAAATTGTAGTACCTTGCACAGGTTTTTTTGATTCGTGGTAATTGAATGGATTTATATCTGAAGATATAGCGACTCAAAGTTGAAGTTTTCTAACATTTTTAATGTTTCTTCAATTTTGGCATTTTTTATAATTTTTTTTTGTAAGGAATGGTATTATTTTTAGACATTAACTTTCTAGTGCCATTTATTCTGAACAAAACAAAGCTACTAATAAATATATAAATGAGCAAAGACTGCCAACATTATCCTGTAATGTAGGATAGAGTAGGGTGGAGTCAATGCATAAGTCCCCCCCCACGCCTATGGAATAACTTTCAAAAAATTCCAAAATTTTTGTAAGCACTAGGGCCGGACCCCGAAGCTGTTCGAACACGAAACCGAAACAACAACAAAATATGAGCAGTTTCGTGAACAAAGCCAAGGTTGTGTTCGTCCTGGGTGGCCCTGGTGCTGGCAAGGGTACGCAATGTGCGAAAATCGCCGATCGGTTTCGCTTCACGCACCTGTCCGCCGGCGAACTGTTGCGGGCGGAACGCTCGCGCGGCCCATATTCACAGTACGGGACGATGATTGAGCAGCACATGCGTGAGGGGAAAATAGTGCCCGTGGAGGTGACCTGCTCGCTGCTGGAGCGGGCCATGAAGAGCTCCTCCGGACAGAGGCTATTCCTCATCGATGGCTTTCCCCGCAACCAGGACAATCTGGATGGCTGGAATCGTCGCATGTCCGCCAAGGTGGACATGCAATTCGTTTTGTTCTTCGATTGCCACGAGGATGTGTGCGTCCATCGCTGTCTGAAGCGTGGCCACAACGGCGGCAGCGGCGGCGGCGGCGGCTGCATTGGCTCTGGTCGCAGCGACGACAATCTGGCGACACTGAGGAAGCGCATTCAGACCTACAACGAGAACTCCATGCCCATCATCAAGTACTTTGAGGGCGCCGGCCAGGTGAAGAAGATCGATGCGGCCCCCAATGTCGAACAGGTGTTCACCCAAGTGGAGCGCACCTTCTTGGCCAGCGGTTTTTAGAGGTGGGTCTTCCCTTGTACCCTTTTGCCCAAGGTGCCAGGCAATTAAAATCGAATAGCATTAAAGCTGTGCAACTAAATACAAACAGAAATTTGATTTCAAGGCAAATAGTTTTCCATTTTAATGGACACACAACGAAATCCTTTGTCTCTTGTTGCCCCCATTATCCTCATCCCCAATTGTTAGTATTTATCAAAGGGGGCTAAATGGGCCTGCCCATTGCTGGATTATTCGGTACAATTCATCAAAAGCTCACTAATTAAATATTGTCGAAAGGCTAAGGCCAGGCCAGGCCAATTATTTATTCAATTATTTGCTGTTCGCATTTGGCAAAAATGCTTGAAAATTGCCTGTAACCAAATATTATTGTGGGGGCTCAAAGGTTCAGGTTCAGAGGACTGGCACTGGAACTGGCACTGGCACTGGCACTGAAACTCATCTTCCATAATTTTGTTTGCCCAACAATTATTGTATTTTATTTCATTGCGAGAGATAGAGCGAGAGAGAGAGAGAGACGAGTGCAAAATGCATTTTGAACTTTCAACAAAAGCAAAAATAAAAGCGATACTCAAGTTACGTTTTGGATGGGATGGGAAGGGGTTTGGATGTACTTTGAGCTGTCATCAAATGCTAACCCTTGTCCCCATAGTTAACCCAAAACACTCTTTATTATCTGCTCGCCCACACACTCACACACACACAAGCACACATATTTAACCCGAGCTCTTGATTACCCATTACGTACAGGGGAGGTAGGGGGAGGTTCTCGTTATGTCAAAGAAGTAAAAACATGGAATTAAATCGAAACGACAAATCAAAGCATCTCTACAAAAACTACAGACATACATACATATAGATAATACATATATAATATATATAGAATATAATATAATATATATAAAATACAATAAAATATAGATTCTATATCTATCTCTCGAATCGTATGTCGATGTACTTTATATATAAATTGTACAATCCATTTTGCATATATCTATATATCTCTATATACACACATATATATGTGGAGTGCTGTTGCTAGGGCCCCCTAAAAGTTCTCTAGCAAGTGGAATAAAATATTGAAAACAACCATATAGAGAGTGTGAGGGGTGGGTGGGTGTGTTTGTAAATGCTATTTAAGAGTGGAATAAAAGGGGCAGGCAGGCGCCAAGTAGTTGAACAACATTTGTCATTCTTTTAACAAGTGCACAAGCGGGGGATATGGCAGGAATGCAGCCAACTAAAAAAAGAGGCGAGGGGTGGGATATGGTAGAGCAGGGTAGAGTAGAGTAGATCTGGATCAGTGGGCAGTGGCACAACAAAAGAAAGAAACTCTCTTTCTTATATTTTTTTGTATTATATTAAAATAATTGTCCCGATAGCCCAAAGCATGGCCATAAATCTAAGTTACTTACTAAACATGTTTCAAGTCCATTAAGTACATTTATTTTGTGGTAAACCCCATGAGTAACTTACCTAGAAATACACAAAAAAGAAATAGAAACAATTAGTATTTTTGGTATATTTTAAATATAGTTAAATATATAACATTTATGAATATTAAGTAAGACAAATAGAGGCATAAGGCATAAAGCACAGGCGCGACCGAAGGGCAGTGCCGCATGACGCGTCAAAGGGAAAACAGCGAAAACCGAAATCTGTTGCAGCTCAAAATGTATAAAAAGATAACGAGAATAGCGTGAAGGGATTGTGTGTTCAATATACCAAAAGTTAACTCAATATTCTGTTGGTAGAAAATATTTGTATTTTAGCTACATAGAATTCCCTTTAGATGTGAATTTTATTTTAGTTAGAAAACTCTCTTTCGATTCCATTGAAAGGTTCATGGAATCTTTTTGGCTTTATTCAAGTTTTTCAAAAGTCGCTTGATATAGTTTTCAATTCTGAATCGTTGTTGGGCTGCTCGGTCATTGATCAGCGGCAGCGGCGGCAGCAGCAGCAGCCCTGCAGGCACATGATACAAGCATGAAGCAAAGGGGCAGCAAAGGGGGCAGGGGGGGGGCACAGGGGCAACAATCTGTACAGAGTGAGAGGCAGCAATTGCATTGTGTGGATTGTGTGGCTTGGGAGTAGAGTATAGTGTGTGTTTGCATGTAAATTGCTTTGTTTATGGGCCAAGCGTACAAAGCAAAAGCGCACACAAATCAAAAAGAAAGAGGGGCGGCCGGGTGCCGAGGGGCTGCTGTTGTAGGTACATAATATACTCTATATAGTATATACATATATTCGTAAACACATGCCTCCGATTACATAAATACACATTTCAATTGAAAGTCGTTCAAGTGCAAAATGCGAGAAAAACGAAATAAAACCAAAGAAAATACACAAAAAAAAAAACAGAACAGAACAAGAACTAAAAAAAAAAACACTTGAGCACAAAACATCGTAGAGAAATATAGTTTATTTTGGGACGAATATTGGAATGCTCTAAACCAACACTTGGAATATTGATAAAAATTAAATTAATTAATTTATAATTATAATAATATAAAAACTTGATCAACATTTCAAGACCCATTTTTGCGGATCTATTTCAAACACTCTACCATGAGAAAAACCATCAATAGATCGCTACGGAGTAACAATTTATAAACGAAAAAATTAAATAAATTAAAAAAAGAAAATTAAATAAATAAAAAAATAAAAAAATAAATTCCTTAAAAAGGTGCACTTGTTCGAAAATAAATATTCAAGGATATTTGCAGCGAATGCATTACGAAAATTCGCCTAAGCGAAAGGATATAGAGCCCCGTTTTCCTATAGAGAAAAATCTGAATTTACTCAGTGCCCTCAGGCATTTGTTAATGTAGAAAACAGAGAGAGACAGACAGAGAGACATAGAGAAAGACAGAAAACAGAAGGCAAAACATAGACAAACACACAGGGAAACAGCGAGAAATAAAATATTAATGGACGAGTTTTGGGGGGGAAATGGAAAGGTTCCACTATATTGATCTTCACTGTACACAAACTGTATATCGTATCGATAGCCCACGATTTCCACTGATTTGCTCATTTGCCAGAGAGGCGGCGATTGCGTGCAAAGCCATTCGAAAAATAAAAATACAAAGAAAATGTAAACAACAAGAAACGAGAAAGTGATGCAAAAAAAAAACAACTAAAATGAAATGAAAATTACAACGAAACGGAAACACACACACGAGTAGATAATAAATTAGTAAACGAAAATGTTCAAAATGCCAAATCATTTTAAAATTATTTTTATGGGCCAATTTACAATAATAAATATTAGAGATCCCTTGGCGAATGGCTCCCTCAAATATTTTGTATCTTGAGGTTTAATTTATCCTCATTCCAAACAATAAATGATAAATAATAAATAAATAAATAAATAAATAAATAAATAATAAATAAATAATAAATAAATAAATGAATATATTAAATTTAAGAAAATTTAAGATTTCTAGAAAGACGAAAAAGATTTTTTGCATTTATACTGCTTGACATTCGATTCGCGGCTTTTACGTTGAATGAAAATAAATTTTGCTGCAGAATGTTGAGCATTATGAAATGGCAGAGTGTCTGTCTGTCTATCTGTCTGGCTTTCTGTTAATGTTTCTACTCACAAGTTTTAGAGATCTCAATAAATGAAAAGTTCGATTCATTGAACTGCATTTTATAAACGAGTGTGTGCGTGTGTGTATCTGTGTGTATTTGTATCTGTCACTCTCTGCCCCGGCCCCCTGCCCAACTGGAATCTATAGACAATGCGGATTGGGGAAGGGAAACCAGTTTCTGGTTTCAGTTTATTTTTTTTTTTTTTTTCGAGTTCAGTTTTCAGTTCCAATTGCAATTCCAATTTCAATTCCACACAATTGTCAGCCTTTCTCGCAAGTTGTCAGCGATTTCTTTGGATTTGAATGCAAACGCCATAGATACAGATACAGATACATAAATAATAAATAAATATATGTAGATATAAGCCCAGACAGTGTGGGCATGCGATTTCTTTTCACTTTTGATTGTATCTCTCACTCGAAAATGTTCTTTAATTTCATTTAAATTGCTGACCTATTTTTTTCTTTTTTTTTTTGTATTTCAATCAAAGCTCATTTTAAGATTTGAGTTAATTCTATATAGAAGATAGTCAGAGAGTAATACATATAGATATAGGCGACGACAACCTCTGACATTGTTTTATAATTATAAAAATAGAATTTAATTGCAAATATACAAAAATAAATAGAAAATAAAAACAAAACAAAAGACAAAAATGCTGGCTGATAAGGCAACGACAAACACACAAGTATAAACGCAAAAGCAGAGAAGGAGAACCCAAAAGAGAGAGAGAGAGAGATAGAAAGCGGATAAGAAGTAGTGCCAGGAATCCGACAAGAGTTACACAAAAAAAAAATCCCAATTCCATTAATCTGGTAATCTGGTTATGGTATATTATGAATGAACATTTTTGTTTTGTCTCACGATGACGATGCATGCGCATCCGTTCAGTTCAGTTCAAAACTAATTACTGCGTCGCTGACATTATCTTTTGTATATTTCTCGCATTTTAATACTGGTTTGGTTTATGCCTCCTATATATCTATATCTATATCTATACCTACATCTATATCGTTACGCGATTTGCTTTCTATCATATGACCTTTCTGACCGTGCCATATTGCGTCTTATGGCGGTCGCTCATATTACTCACGCGGCCCTTATTTAAATACAGATACCAGCCAGATGCGCAAAATGCAACAAAGTTTTAGTTTTATTTGTACAAATGCTTTTGGGACTGGACTGGTTTCCAGTTCTTATATGTAAATTTCGGTTGATTATAAAAAATGCCCATAAGCGAGAGCAATTTATTTAAATATAAAATCCATTGATTCGTTTTTAGTTCCATAGGCCAAGGAATGTCTTTTGAGGTCGTCGCAAATATCCCATAAGCAAAAGGATATCATTTAAGAAAAATAAAAAGACTTTGATTTACTTTACAAAATTCGCATAAAAAGAAATCCCTTGATTCCCCATAGACATTCTTTTTACTGTACAAAATTTCCATATGCGAAAGAATATCGCTTTGCCGTATCCACGCCCCACTTGAAGAACTTTCTCATTTTTTTTTTAGATATTTTGCCT